ACCGCCACTCACGACAGCCGCCAGCACGAGTGCTACGGCAATAGATGGTGACAGTAAAGGCAGCCCCACAGCAGCTACGGCCCTGCAGTCTGACGATGGCTCAGAAAGCAATCCGGCCAAAAATGGCTTGAGACAACCTTCCAGTGAAAGAATCGCACAGCTCAGTACGACTCCCGATCCTGAAGACGCATCAGAAGTCACGGAGAACGCGGCCGCTGAAAATGCAGGAATCCCAACAACAAAAGCAATCGCCACAGCCAAAACAAATGACACGGTGACAACTGGTGACACCGCCGCCAATCAGCCGCTCCAAGGATTTGTATTGGTCGCCAACAGAATGCGCGGTAGACCGTCGGTTTCCTTCCAATGGATTTGATTGTTGCCGGTTTCGCCACCGACGTGACCCATCACCAGCAATAATCCCGATTTGAACTTCTCGCTCGTAGCCTTACAGGTAGCAGCGTCTTCACGGCAGTATTTTCCAACAAGCATGTAAATATCACTTCCATTCACAACTGCTGTTGGTCGGCTCACGTCTACTCTCTTCTTCGGCGTCTGAGGAAGTCACTTTATCCAGAACTTGTGTCACCTTGGCATCCTTCAGCACCTCCTCCTTTTGGTTATCCGCTGTTTTCTTGAGAATTTGGGATGCAATCCCAGTAAAGCCGCTGTTTTCATCCTTCTTGCACTGCGCCTCGGCAACGGCAAACACGTCACTCCCCACTTCTAGAAGGCCCGGAACACCCAACGAGTCCACAGTTACACCATCGTCAGTGATGTTTTCCCATTGAAACCTTGGTTCATTCGGTGCCGTTTCATCAGCGGTCGCACCTCCACCAGTGCCGCAGCGAATCATTACGAAGAGAAGGAGCACCGCGGAAGTAAACACACGCCGGGACATGTTGGGCCTCTGCGGCTCACTCTCTCTTCCTTCCCTCCTCCTTCCGCTGGATCCTGTCACGCGGCGACGGTTGTGTGTGCGGGGTGCCTTCACTGCAGCAACACGTGAGAGCATATAAATATGTGTGGGCGGTGTGTGTGCTGTTGGTCCTTTCAGAGCCTTACAATTTCACAGTAGCGATTAGCGTTTAGCCTTACTTCCTTTCCTTCTTTGTGTGTGAGAAAGAGATAAAATTTAAAAAAGTGAAACAGTGAGCACGGCCGCCCCTCCACAGTGAGTGGCATCATCATCCCCACCGCAGTCACTCCCAACAACAACAACTCACGCACACAGACACACTGAACGAGACGGAAGAACAGTGCACCGGGAACACACAGCGACTGCCACCACCACCACCAACAGCAGTAAAAGCCACAGCGGGTGTGATATTCGTCACGCGTCAGCACACACAGAGAGCAACGCCCATAGACGCTGCCGCCAGTCGTTTTACTGTTGTCTCTCCCCGCAACATCCATCGCACATCGCCCCGCACAGCCGGAGAATCCTCCGTCGCTGTATGAACAGCGGGAGGAACACGTCGGCACGTGCAGCTGCTGGGCAAGAATCCATACGCACTTATCCCAGGCACCCGCAATGACGCACCACGTTAGTCAACTGCTGCACGAGAAGAAAATCACGCTCGCAGCACGGCAACAAAACAATCACGATCCTCCGTCATCCCTCCTCGCTAGGGCCACAGAAAAATCCTGTACGTACGTGCGTCCTCAGCATTCACGCCGCTCCACAGCGTGTGCAGCACGGCGTGTGAGTGTGTTTGGCAGCGTCTATAATTGCAGAGCAGCTGTGCGCCACAAGAGAGTCAGAAGAAAGCAACGGCAGAGAGAGGCAGATAGCACACACGCACAAATTACTCATATCATCACACACACACGCAGCCCGTGGAATGGGTGCACTCAACCACAAAACAATGAAAAACAAAACAAAAAGCCGAAGCGTGGGACGACCAGCGCACACACTCTCATTGCTCCCGTAAAGCAAAACACACACACAGGGAGAGAGAGAGAGGTCGCCCACTCAATGCAATAAAAACAAAACAGAAACAGTTACGGTGCTCCGCCCATGCAGCCAGGCAGGACGGCAGCGGTGCGTGTGGTGCAAAAGAGAGCACCAACGGGTCTGCATGGGTGTGCATGCATATATACAATGGGCACATTATGTGTGTGCTTCGTGGGATGAGGTGAGGGCGAGAGTCCATGCAAGGGGACACACACGCACACAGTGAGTGAAGGACGAGTGTGTGTGCGGGCGGTGCACGGCTCTCTCTCCCTCACACTCACGCGGCCACCACCGCAGCAGCAGCCGCACACGCAACAGGAAGAAGAAGCAAAAGAGGGGAGGTGGTGTGGGACACCGCGGTGCTGCTGTCACTGTCGCCAACCTTTACATTATCTCCAGTTTGGCGTTTTTCTGTCGCCGCAGCATCCGGAGTTTGAGCATCCTCGGTTGTCTTCGTCCCTGTGGATTCTTCCTCCTCAAAAGGGGAAAATTCTTCGCTTGTAGATGGCTCAGCTTCTTGTTCTTGACTGCCAGTTGATGTACTCTGCGCCGTAGCTTCTGTAGAGGCAGGATATTCCTTATTTTCCTTTTGTAGTTCGGGTATGTTCGTGGATGTATCCGTGCTTTGGCCTTCATTGGTCATTTGTTCCGGAGTTAACATTTCATTTTGGGTTTTGTGCTCCGGCGGTACTTTATTTGGCACTGTCGTTTGAACCTGTTCACTGCTTTCTGATTTTGTACCTGGACCCTCTAATAAGTCTCCTTTTCTGGGGGCCTTTGGATCCTCGTTTCCAATATCTTGTACTCCCAGTGGGGACTGACCTTCTCCACC